AAAAAAAAAAATTGTGTTGTGCGATTGGAAAAGTTAGGTTTTAAAGTTTGTTTAAACTAAGAGTTAGCAAACACGATTGGAAAAAATTATGTTTTAAAGTTTGCTTAAACTAAAAACTAACAAAATACGATTGGAAAAAATTATGCTTTAAAGTTTGTATAAAAAGTGTGTTTAAAGTTTAAACTAAGTTGTTAAAGTTGTAAAGTGTGATTAGAAAATATTATGTTTCAAAGTTTGTTTAAACTAAGAAGGTAACCAAATTGAAAAATATTAAGTGCTAAAATGTGATTAAAGAAGTAATTATGTACATTTTAAGAACTCCATAAATAAGTAAAAATCTTTAAGGCTTACAAGTTACAACAAATCACTCCTAAGAATTTGTGAGTCTAGTTTTTTTTTTTTTTACAATATGTTTTTCTTAAAGCTAAAATTTCTGCAGTTAATATTTTCATCAACTTTTTAAAAATGAAAAATGTAAAAACTAGGGAAATAAATAATTTTTTTTTGTAATTTTTCGCAATTTTTTTTTCTTATTTTAGTACACCACTTATATAAAAATTGAGATTATATATTTTCTCTTTGATTGGTGTATTTTTTTCTTTCAAAGAGGTTGATGGAGACACTTTAGGAGAGAATTATCAACAGTCCACTAGTAGTTATATTTGAAGTTAATTTGATAGTTATTAAAATATCATGTATCCTCTATATATTAATAGAATAGACACTAAAAAAAATCATAAGTGTCAATCAAAGAGAGTTTTAAGGAATCATTAATGCTTTCAAAATATTTTATGAAAATAATATTAAAAAAGTTTATTTACTATATTTCACCTAAATTACCCACCGAATTTAACTAAAGTTATTTTCTTTTGTCGACAGCACCCAATCATATTTTTGGATTTTATTCTCTCCAAAAAAATTAAAGTTAAACTTCGATCCAAGCCCAACGAAACGAATTCAAAATTAAAAAAATAATTGAAAATAAAAAAAATTAACTGAAAAATTAAATCAGTTTCTTAAAATAAATTTTCATGTTGTTTTGTTTCTTGGATACTATATTAATCTTGAAAAATCAATATATCCGAAACATAAATTGTTTTGAATCTTCTATATATTAATTGAAGTGACAATAGAAGAAAAAATTGTGATGTGAATCAATGAGCAATTTAATGGACATATCGTTTCATTTAACAAATCAAAATATTTCAATTAATAGTATGAGTTTTTAAATTATATATATTTTCTTATGAGTTTTTAAAATTTAACATAAATCCACTAATAAATGTTTTAACATTTTAAACCCAACTAAATGTCATATTTTAGACTTACCACAAAAATTGATTTACTGTTATATATGTATTTAGATTAGCACACTATACATATGTTTTAATTTTGATATAGTCTATTATACATATATAACTAAACTTACAAATATTTACACTTTTAATTATTGAAAAAAATATATTGTTTTTGTTTGTTATATCCGACATATTAATATATATCTAAAATTTTATGATTTCACATAGTTTATAGTTTACACGAATATTTAAAATTAATTTTACATTAAAATATATTGAAATAAATAACTTTGCATATGTTTTAACCAATTTTACACATAAAGTAATAGAGCTAATGAAATCAAAATATGTTTGATCAAAATTCAACTTTATAATATTTATGCAATACATGTTATTATTTGACAAAATATGTTTTGTCATATACGTTTAAATCTTAAAATTGATTAAAAATATATATTTAATCATTTAATCCCACGCTTGGCGTGGATCAAAATCTAGTTTAGTTTTAATTAAGCAAGCGCGGACAAATCATCTAATAGATAACAAAATCTAAATTGTTAAAGCTGTAATTAAATATGAAAATTAGAAGACAATATTTTTATTAATATTTATTCTAACATATTAGATATATGTTGTTTATAGAGAGGAAAAATCTAAAAAATTATTTAGTATATTATAAAAATTAAGGTGATTAAATTTTTTATGATATGTTCTTCCATAATGACAATAGTTAGTATAAGGAACTAATAATCATAATAAGATAGACATAAATCTTATTAACAAAAAAAGGCTATACATAAATCAATAAATTGTCTCAAGAATATTTACTCTATTTTTTGGATTTTCTTGATCCTCATATAAGTATTTTTTTTTTGGATGATTTCTAAGACTTTGATGAATTAAAATCTCTCTTATCTTTTTTTCTCTCATCGTTTTTCTATGGATCCATCAGAATTTAAAACAACGAAATCCATTGAAGAAGTGTTAAAATTCCTTTATCCCGATCTTACACCAAACGAGATAGAACAACGAAAAGAAGACGTAGAAATTGGTCCTCTTGTCTTATATGTTATCCTTTTTAGCTTGGGTTTCTATGTAGGTATCAATTTTTCTTTGGTTTTTTTAGAACCAAACAATCCTCACAAAATTCAAGTGTCCGAACTCAAAATAGTTTCAATAGCTTTTACAGTCGAGCTTAAACTATTAATAATATTACTACAACACAAAGCCATTATCTTCCTCTAGCAAGTGCTAGATGGGATTTGTTAATAAGAGTCCCTGAAAATCTTCTTGGTAATTTTATGTCTCCAAAGAAACCTACAAGCTTCTTTTCGTTACAAGAATGTCACTCTTGCTACTTTATTTTTGCAAAGGTTAGTTATTAAAGTTTCAAAAAAAAAAGTTAGTTATAATAATTTAATTATTTGAAACCATGTAATATTCTTTACTGATTTTGAATCTTATGTATGTGATTAAAAGTTATAATAAACTCGAATCCGGCATGCCTTCATCACATCAAAACTCGAATCCGGAATACAGGTATTCATATACATACTTGTATTCCATCGTCCCATAGGACTTTTCTTGCTGTGTATGCCAATCCAAAAGTCCCCGTCCGGTGTCAACCGGATGTTGTCCGGGTAACCCGGCACCTGAGCAAAGATATCTCGAGTTCCGGCTTTGGGACCTTTGGTCCAATATCTATGGACAATCCCCGTGGGGGACTCGCATGAGATTAGAAAAGACCGGTCTTTGTTTAATGCCAAACCGTTGTTACAACGAAGCTTGTCCATGACAACTTTGGCCTCTTTCGTCTTTTTATCGTATTTGATCACTCTTCCAGGATCGCCGCCGCGAAAAATACATCCCTGACCGAAGAAAAAAAAATCACATAACATATAAGTTTAGATTGATCTCAAACGCTAATTTTTTCCTTTGCATTTATATATGGCTAACTAATATTTACTTTGTTGTAAAACGTTACAATTTTCTCTCAGTTTATGTTAAATATACCTGAAATGATACTTGTCACTGCTATCATTAAAGTAGAAGACATCTTCTTCTTCGTCGATATCCATTTGGTTTGCAAACATAACCTTCCGACCTTCGGCCTGATCCACAACCAACTCGGCCAAGCCACCTTCTGGTCCAACCTTCATGACACCTAAGTAACCATCACAAATGTACAAATCTCCTGTTTTCTTCTCAAAGCTAAGTCCTAGTGGCCTTCCACAAGTAGGCACTACTTCATGCGTTGAACAATTCCCTCTACATACAACAAGAATAATAGATTATTAATTAAAATGAGTTATGATTTATTTTTTCAAGAAATAAAAATCAAATTTTTTTTTAACATTCTATAGCCTCAGCCCCCATCTGAGTAGTTGAGAAACCATAAAGATTTGGCGGACCCAAATCTGTAGCCTTCCGAGTTTGAATCTACTTTGGAGCACTTTTTTAGAGATGAATCAAACTATTTCCATTTGTAAACTATTTACTGAATTGAACCAACGGAAATTTAAGTTATAACTCTTTATACAGAAAAAACGTGAGTTTATATACAATAAAAAATATTGGGACTGATCCAAAGGAACGTTTACACAACAATAACATCATACCAAAACCAAACGTAACTACAAAAGTCCAAATGGACATATCCAAAGTCCTAGTATTATATGAATAAATGATAAAGAGTTGCATTTCTTTTCCTCAACTTGATTTTTTTTGGGGTCTAAATGTTAGATTCCTCAACTTATTTGTTTATTCATTTATGCATTTGTGGTGTACGGTTATAATTTTTAAAAATTAATAAAAGATTTTAATAAAGCAAATAATAAAAACCTGTGAGGAGATGTGTATGCGAACTCGACCCAACCAAGCTCATCGCCGCGCCACTTGAGAATACGACCGAAGCATACGGACCTTCTCCTTGTGGATCCCACTCAATACTTTCTGGTCCATCGACCGGAATCGGAATGGTCTTAGCCATCGACAGTATGTTTTTGGCGCCCTCTACCTTGTCCGGCAAAATTAGTGTATGATACAAAATTACGGACAAGACGGCCGTACAGACCGGAACGGCGAACCAAGGCACTAACTGGTAACATAATTAGGCCATTAGGCTATTAGGCCATGCTACCATTTAGAATGGCCTAATTCTTTACAATTAGGCCATTAGGTCATGCTACCAGTTATTATTTTTTTTTTTAGTGGATGAATTTTAACGTGAATAATTAGGCATGTCAAACGGACTATTTCGGTCCGACCCGACCCAAAACCTGTAAACACAATCCCATGAGAACAACTTGGTAACAACGAGGAAGATAGAGAATATGTAGAAACAAATATCTTGCAAGAACAAAAAAAAATAACCGATGGAGCCTATATATTGACTATACGAGAGAGAATCAAATAACAATTATGAGATGACTATCATTAGTGAATTATTAATATATATATATATATATTTAAGAATAATGTATTTCTAATTTGTATGGTTTTTTTAGTTTAAACATTGAATATTTATTTTATTTGTTTAATACATTACTAATATTATAAATAAATAATGTTAAAAAAATTTTATTTATTTTATTGGTAAATAGTAAAAAGTATTTGTAAATTCTGTTAAAAATAAGTAAGAATAAAAAATATTCAAAAAATAAATTAGGTTTAGAAGCTAATATAATAAGAAATTTCTAATTGTTTTTTGAAATTTAACACATTAATAAACATAAAACAATTTGAATTTTTTTTGTTA